CCTGTCCCGGGCCGCCTCCCGTCACGGGTACGCGGGTTGTCGCCTGGCCGGCCGGGGTCCTCCCGCTGCAGACGTCCTCGGGTTCCGGCATCTTCCCGCGCGGGAAGGGCTGGTCGGTGTTTAATGCGTCCTGTGGGGGAAACGGAGTGAATTGCATTATTACATCAGCCATATTGCATTAGTCGTAAATTAATTAGGCGGGCAAATGCATTCCGATGCTGCAAAAGGAAGGCCCACAGGACAGTGTAATCCTAAAATCCGTTAACAAAAAAAGACTTTCAACTCATAAAATCTGCCGTACAATGAACTTAATCACTATTATATATCATTCATCAAAATATTGCCGTTGTACGTTAGATCGTCCAAGGCCGGACTTTCAATCCACATCAGAAGTCACCAGAGATTAACGTGTAGAACTCCAGAGGCAGAAGCAAACTGCCACCAAAGAAGAGAAAAATCTATGTTTAAAGAATCATCTTACCGTATCAATGGCAGTCCGGAAGCTGGGTCTGCATCTGGTATGGAAGGGGAGCGGACCGTCCAGAAGACTGCTGGAGAACGCGTGAGCTTTCTGGTCCGTCCACGGGACCGCCTCCATCACGTCCTCAAACGACATGTTCACCAGCCGCTCCGGGGCCGTGATTTTAATGTCGCCGCGACGGCCGTTACTGGAGTAAGGAGAAATAATGAATGAATGAAGACCTTTATTGTACATTTTGCCCCACTGGGCTAAAGACAGGTCACATATTGACAAAGTACATCAATGTTGATAATAAAACGGCTATAGTACACAAGTACTTTCAACTTCCTCTCGCTTTCTGGTAATCTTATAAATGTAGTTGGCTGTATGAGTAGAGCTGGTTTGTTAAAGACTGCAAGGAATATAAATTTCTCTATACTATTCAAATACTTAAATTGGGAGTATTTGCTTGACACAAAATCGACAAGAATGCTTCTTTCGCGGTCATACATGGAACAATCCACAATAAAATGTACCTCGTCTTCTACTTTACCTAAACTACAATATTGGCAGATTCTTTGCTCTAGAGGAGTGCGGTTATGTCTTCCTGATTCAATTCGCAAATTGTGACAACTGATTCTTAGTTTAGTAATGGCAGATCTGAGACGTACATTTGCGATCTTAAAATAATCTTCTTCATTATATGAGTGTTTTAATAATCTGTACGTTCGAAGTTTATTTTTTGAATTAGTAACTTTATTATCGTTGTGGATTTCGGAAAGAAATGTTTGGAAATGAATATCTTTTAAACGCTGACAAATTGCTGAGATAATTTGGGGCGTACTTGAGCCAATTGATTGAACGTTTTGCCAGACGAAAGAATAACCGCATTTCTCTAGACTGTTGCGTACACCAGACGCCCAACACTTGGTACCTGTAGCTTATAATGAAAAATAAAATTATGGCTCTTGGTAGCAAATGTGTGATGATGTTGGCAAATTGGCGCACCAAATTCGTAGTGTGTTTTTAGCACATATTTAGACTGATTAGCTTAAAATAAAAAGCTTGGTGGGCGTCACTCCACAGTCAGGAAAAGAAGGTAGTGTAAAGTGCCTTTCCCAAGGGCACAAAGTCGGAACATGTCACATGGTAAGTATCGAGCCCAGGACCTATTGGTTCCGAGTCCAACGCTCTAAACATTGTGCCAACTGTACTCACTAACAGACCAACTCCCCTGGCATGTTATCCGTCTGTTTAATTTGGCCAATTTGTACTCTTTCCTGGTAGAGGTTAGATGACGGTTAGACACTCATGTAATGAGATACACAAGAAAGCAGTTACTCATGCAACTGGATAGATTTTAGAATTGTCAGACGTTTCCACTTCTCGTTGGTGTCTAACGGAATCTGAACAAGTATTTATCCAACAACTATGTACATGAATTAAAACAAAAGCTCGTTCATCGTTTGTTTTGCACTTACAAGATAAAATGAACTAGAAAGGCCAATATTTGCTTTGGAGCAAATACAGCGATGGGTTCACCACATTTTACGACAAGGCAGGGAAAGAATGAGAAACACAAGGGAAAACAATGATTTACATTGATATAACTATAATATGAAGTAACATACAACTAAAACAACAGTTGGATAGCTATTCCCTACTTTATTGGTTAGGATTTTTAATTGCATAATGCAAACTGTTGATTTTCAAAATAAAAAAAAAACGTTCATGCCCCGCATTCCAATGCTGGAGCAGAAAAGCTTGAAATACCTACCAAAACACTTGAATAAAGACATACTGTCAGTATGGAAATGCTCTGTGCAGGTGTTATTAACAATCACATAAACTATGAAGCCATACATTGAATAAGCTATACATATAATATGATTATCATAACCTTTATTTTTAAAATCATGCCAGTGAGCTAATTGCATGTACAGAGTGAAAGAAAGTAAAGTAAAGCAGTAGAATTTCTGTACTAGCTATGATAGTACTTCATATGATTCGTCCTCATCGTCCTCATTCAATGTGGTCTATCTCTTGCTACTAGTGACTGGTAATACCTCTGTAGATTCTTCACACTGGCAGAGTACCGTACTCCTTCTCTCTTGTCAGCTCAATACTTTTGTGACAACATCAAAGTGATTTTAGTTTGTATGTTGGAAAAATACAAAAGACTAACATTCTAAGTTATTGACATTCTTGAGTAAGAACAATCAGTTTTGGAATGTTAAAAGCAAAACAACGAAAATAAAAAAAAATGTTGTAATTGTTAAAATGCAGAATTGTTAAAATCGTTAAAACTGATAAAATTGTTAAAAATTATAAAATTGTTAAAAATGTTAAATTGCTAAAAGATATTTATGTCCGATGCACTGGGGTTCGAACTTGCAATGCCTGGGATTGCCGCCTTGCGCGTTTCCAACCGAGCTAACTCGGTGCGATACACATCCTAGACCGGGGGGGGGCTAAAAGTGCCCGCGGCAACTTTGATGTCACCTAGCGTCTGAACGGCTAGCCGTGGAACGACCAAACTTGGTGACTTTTCCTAAAATATTGTTGGCAACAATTTTCTATCATTGGAATAAGATAATAATTTTTTGTGTTGCCATGGCAACGGGTTTCTGACAGGCATTTTTTGCTAAATTTAGTACTTTTTGTTTCAACAATAGAATTTTATGGGTTTTATGTCAAGTTACTCATGGTTTCTAATATTAATAACATCCCATATAATTTTATGTAAATTTTATCATTAAATATGCATAATTTATGCTAATTTGATGACGTCATTGGCCAAAATCCAAGATGGCCGACCATATCATTAGAACAGGTATATACGGGTTATTTTCATTAAAATTTCATCAATACTTCCATTTCTTTTTACAAAAAAGGTTTAAATGAAGGTCTTTAGTATGTTTACAATGTATTTTAGGCTTTATCATGAAAAAAAACTATTTTTGAAAATTCAAGATTGATGATCCAAGATGGCGGATATCTTAAATATGCATGACGTCATTTTATGACGTCACCGGTGTTGCTTAGGGCAACATAAGACTTAGTACACACTAATATTCTGTCATAAACACTTTTGGTACAGTTATGTTGTATACCAGGGAGGTTTTCAGGGAAAAACCTATTTAGACGGTTTTGGCCAATAAAATCACATTAATGACGTCATAATGACGTCATATTACGTCATAACGACATAAAAATTGTAGATATGATAAATTTTTACTAGTACACCATTCTCTGAAAATTTGGTGGTCTTACGACATACCGTTCGCGAGTTCTTAGGGGGGGGTCAAAGAAGACCCCCCCGGTCCCCCCGACCTCGTCCAAAAAAACGAACCCGGTCCGTACGGTAGGGTTAA